CCAATATTTTCTTTTTTCCACTCCCTCAGCCCTCGCTGGTTTTTCAGAGTTGGGACTCTTGTTGGTATGGTGTCTAATGGTGGATCTTAATGGACAAAGGTAAAAGCCATTTTAAAAAGTGGGGAAATGTTCTCGTTTCATTCCAATTCTCTGAACTAGACTGTTGAAGAGCAGTTTCCGCTTTTCCAGGGAGTCTTATTCTACTATATTTGCTTTTTGGAGAGAAACATTTAAGTCTCCAATATCCTGTGAGAGGCTCTATGCTATTTTTGAGAACTCAGTGACGAGTTAAGGTACATAGAACACCTTAGGGAACACTACAGAACACCTGTCTGGATTTCACCTGCGGAGAAATTATACCGGTGTTTCTAACGAATACTTTCTATTTGCTTTCTGTTTTATTGTTAAGTCGCTGCTAAAGCCCCTGGCTGCTCGTGACCTTAATTAAGGTAAACGTTTCCCACCCGGTGGAGAGAGGTGCGCCCAGCCCTCGAGGAAGGAGGCTGAATAACACTGTTTCCAGGGAGGGGACGAGCGCCAGCATAGCCCAGCGCGGGCAGGGGCCCCTGGCCTGGCGGCGGCGGGGACCCGGACCGGGCGGGGGCGGTCTGGGCAGGCTCAGGGCGCAAGTTCAGGGCCGCCGCGGCGCCGGGGACGGGCTCAGAGCTCTCCTCCGCGGGCGGCGACTCCGCGCGCCGGCGCGGGCGCCGGTGTTTACCTCGCCTCCTAGCAACCGGCGGGCGCGCACGCAGCGGCGCGGAGCCGGGTGCGGGCGCGGAGCTGGGCGCTGCAGGTGAGTGCGGCCGGTGGGTGCCGCTCCCGGGGGCGGGCCCTGGTGCCCGCGCGCGGCCCGCGCTTAAGTCCTTGCAGCCGTCCGCGTGCTTGGAGAAATGGGGGGCCTCTTCTGCCCCCCTCGCCCCTTTCCCTTTCCTCGGGCCCGAGATCTGCCCCTCCTCTTCTCTCTGCCACTCCCATCTAGCCGCTGCCTCCCTGCGGACAGCCGGGCCTGGGGCTCTCTTGCTCCTTCGCCCCCGCGCCCCCCTGTCCACCCTGCCCGGACCACACCTCCTCCCTATCCATTCTTTCTACTTCTCCGGCCGCCTCTCTGTCTCTCTTTCCCTCTTCGCCTTTCTCCTCCGCCCTTGCAGCTTTGCCTTCTGCTCTCTATTCTGTCTGCGCTGCCTGCCCCTTCCCGCCTGTCGCCCGCCTCCTCATCCCTGCAGACTTATCCTGCAACTCCTTAGTCTTGTAACCGGTCAGGTTGGTGCCATCATCGCGTGTCTTTACACAGGGTTTGGGTTTAGTTTGATTCAGAGCCCTGTTCATGTCAGTTCTGAAATTTTAACTGTTCTGTAGGTCTCACTGAATAGCTTCATCGTTCGCAGAATGCCGTGTGTGCAGTGTCTGCCAATCGATGTTACCAGCCACGTTTCTAGATCTCAGAGTGGATGCTTACATTCTAGTAGCCTCATAAAAAATTCGGTTTAGCTTCTGATCAAGTGTCATAGAAATTATTCACGAATGGGTTTCATTTTGGTAATGATCCTGGAAGCTTGCAACTGACTCTTAGCAAAGCAAATTCTATTATATCTATTTGATTATTAGCAAAAATGAGTGCATAGTGATTCTCAATTTATGTAAACAAACGCATGCACAAAAACTTTTTTCGTTTTACTCATTAAACTTCTTTAAAATCTTACTTTACTTCAAAGATGCATATCATGTATTCATATGTGTGCATTTTCACTACGGTTCTTAGGCTAGAACACTCATGGAGTGGCCATGGGTAGAAAGTGAGGAGTAGCCTGTCTAGATAAGTGTTAGTTTTGGTATTGTTCCCTGAGTTGTACTGACCACTTTTGAACACCACTGGAATTAGTGGAATAAATGCTGTGGCTTTGATTCTTTTGGTAAATTAAGAAGCCATCAGAAATTTCTCACACTTAAGATGAAAAAACACCAGATTACCCTGTTTTCTTTTTAAAACTCATTCGGTTAGGCCTGCAAATCACTTCTCTCTCTCTCTCTTTTTTTTTTTTTAGCTCTTTTATACGTGGTTTCCTCTTCTTTGGGATTTTGTTCCACCTTTTTTTCCTAATAATATTCTATTCGCCTTCTGGATGGTGATAACCCCCCCTGAGGTTTTCTTAGGCCTTCTGCTAACCAGCCTTCTAGAATCAAGCCTGTCCATTGCTGCAGCTTCTGGTTTACTAGATTCAGAAAAACAATTTGAAGAGATTCAAATATGTTATGTTTGTATTTCTATAAAAATTTATCGTAATGAAAAGAAGAATTTTTTTTTGCATTTATTAGCTCTTTTTTTTTTTTTTTTTGTGAGGAAGATCAGCCCTCAGCTAACATCCATGCCTAATCCTCCTCTTTTTGCTGAGGAAGACTGGCCCTGGGCTAACATCTCTGCCTATCTTCCTCCACTTTATATGGGATGCCGCCACAGCATGGCCTGACAAGCGGTGAGGCGCACAGGTGCGTGCCTGGGATCCGAACCCCGGGCCACCAGGAGCGGGGCGCGCACACTTAACTGCTACTCCACGGGGCCAGCCCCTATTAGCTCTTTTTCAAGTGTCTTCTAGGAAGTTGCTGTATGGTATGTTGATTGCCGCAGTCTTATGTAATCTATGTAATTTCACATTTTTCTTTAAAAATGTACAAGAATGAAATGATGCACACACTATAGCTTTATAAGATCACCAAAACAAGTGTTACACTTAACAGTAAAAACAAACAGAACTGTCCACCTAAGCCTTTCTGTGTAAGAAAGCTATTTGCACTTATTCTTAGTTTGCATTTATTCTCACAATATTGGGAAAGTCAAGAGTGTGACGCATAAACATCAGTCCATGCTTAGGTATTTGGAATCTAGCAATAGAAGCAAAACACTGGAATACTAAAAGAAATGCACAGAACAAATTTGTACCCTAATTGTATGCATTTTATTTCACTAGCACTTTTATGTATAAACACTTTTATATATAAACATGTATGTGTGTGTGTATATATGTGTCTGTGTGTATGTATGTGTGTGTGTATATATATATATATATATGTCTCAATTGTTTTCAACCCTATCTGATCGAATACTTGGTTTTTATAACAAATATTTTGTAATGTCCATTTTAATCATAGGTAATAATCCTATATATGTGTATAGTTTGAAATATCGATAGAGCTCTAACTGTAAAATGAAGAAAAATTAAAAGGAAAATAATTGTAATAAAATACCAGCATGTAAATGCTCAGGTCCCACTACACCAGAATATACAGTAAAGTAGTCCGATGCTCCAGCGTTCCATAGAATTACTGTGACTGCGGTGGCTCCCAGTGCTGGCTGATACAGGTGTGTCGTTGAAACTTAAATTGTGTGAATAGCATTGCCATCAATGGTGGTGTTTTCCAAAATGCTGAGCTGTTGGTAAAGTTCCTTATAAAATGAAGCATGTACAACCTTCCTTTGATTTATATGATTATTGCAATCCTGGAAAATTCAGTGTATAGTAACACTGTGAAAAAAATACTTTATGGTTATTTGTAAAGTAGGTTCTAGGCACGGATATTACTTATCTGAAGTTTTTCACCTACTAGATGCCTGGAGATTGCAGCATAATTTTTCCTTCTGGGGGACTGTCCTGCACGTTGCAGGATATCTGGCATTCTTGGTCCCATCACTAAATGCCAACGATGTCTCCGTCCTGTCATTTTGATAATGAATCATCTGTATAGTACTTCGGAACTGCCTCTCAGCAGCCAATGCTGCCCCATTGAGAATCACTGATCTAGATATCCCTGGTACTGGATTTCAAGATTTAATACGGTACAGAAAAATCTTCAAGTCATTTCTGTAGAATCTTGGTACTTCTGAGCTTTTATAATAATGATGGAGGAAAAGCTAATTGCATTTTATATTTAACTTTATAACCATTGTTCTAATGTTCTGGAAGAAAGGTTTTAATGGTCAGTGTTATTACAAATAAGAAAACAAACAAATATAGATTGTTTGAAAAAAGTCTTAAATGTCCAGAATGAGTTAATGTCAGAACTTGTTTTCTAAGTTGGCTCTTATTTGATGTTACAGATATGTTATCTTTTTAAAGATCTTCTTTAAAAGACTAGTTTCTGTTCAGCCAAAGTAAAGTTTATTTCATTTGAATTTCTGTTTTAGATTTTAATGCTAGATGCTTTTGATAGCCAATTTAGAAAAAACAGGCTGATTCTCATTTATTCTTACATCTCTCACATTTGCTTTTAAGAAAGTTGTGAAGTACAATAAAATATTCTGGGCAGGATGTGTAGGCAGAGGGTGCACTATTTGGATTGCTCAAATATTCTCATTAATAGGATCAATTGTGTGCTGTACCAATTTTCAGAAAAAATTATAGTATTTCACAGTAATGTTCTTACTCTATTTCTTATTAATTCAGCAGGTACTTGGGGAACTCACAGAGCCCCCAGAATCATGTTCATCAGTCATCATTGCACAGATGCAGATATGATGACTATAAGAAAGTCAGGGTAACAGAATTCAGTTTACTAGCATAATTCTAAACAATGTGTGACCCAGCTCGAAAGAGCGTTGCGCACTTAACCTCTGGCCCAGCAGAGCTGTGAACCAAAGGCCTCGACGCCAACCTCTTCCAATTCTTTTTTCCACTCTTGGAGTTTTCTGTTTCCGTTTTCTGCCCCGTTACTTGAATTTTCTCTCTTACGCCTGGGGAAATGAGAAAGCAGTTATTCATTTCAGGGCAGACAGATATTGGAAAATCCTTAAGTACTAGTCAGTTTTACTTAGAGCTGATTCAGTGAAAATTAACTATTTTATTGAATTGAAGAGCAGGTAGAGGATTCAAAAATCAGTCTCTAAGATTAATATGCAGACTGTGGATTGCGTAGTCCCAGCTTAAAGTCTTGGAAATGAAGAATGCTCCAGTGAAGAGGCAGATGCTGTTGTCTCTTTCTAACTCTCTCTCCTCTGACGTAGCGTGTGTGGTCAGCTCAGCTCTGACCATTAACCGGTCCCATGGGCGTGGCGCTGACGAGATCCGCGCAGTGGACTGCTGCTGGACGTGGAACTGGAACCCTCGAAACTACCCCTCTAAATGAAGCCATATTGAAAGAAATTATTGTGTTTGTGGAGAGTTTTATCTATAAACATCCCCAAGAGGCAAAATATGTTTTTGTAGATCCACTTGAATGGAAAACAGGTTTGAACCCCTCAGCATTTGAATCTGGTTATGCTGTCAGGTAAGCGGGTTAATTGCTTCTAGAATTTAATATCTTTATTGCACATATTTTTATTGATTGGTGATAGGTTTGGGGCTAGTCATGTAACCTCTGTAAATCTCAGAAATCCTCTAAACGGGGGATTACAACCTGGAGGCACTTGGGATAAATCTGAGGATATTTTATTGGGCCAATACCCTATTTATATAATTTTTTAATTTAAATTTGAATTTCTTTTGAAAAGGGATGCATTCTCCAGGTCACTGCACTTTCAGCATTTGCTATTGTTTTATGTCTGGCCTTTCCACTCATCCATATGACCCGCCAGACGCCCAGTAGGCATTGGTTTTGGATCTCTGGTGTAGACAGAATCCCTTCTGGTATTTAAATCTGTCAGTTCCTGGGGTGGCAGAGGGAGAGTGGTAAATTTTGCTCAATATAAGGGAGAGAATTCTTAATAATCAGCATTGTCCTCAAATGAGAACCTTCCAAATCTGAGATTAAAAAAAATCCTACCTCTACCTCAAATAGCAGGCTATCAATTTATCTCTTTTGAATGTAGCTAAAATATATATATTTATATAAATTACAAAAATTTATATCAATACAATTATATGTTATATTTATGTATAATATACAAGTATCTATTATGATTATATATGATAAATGTATACAAATTCATATATAAATCTTTTTTTTTGTTTTGGTCAGCCTCAGTTTATTTTCCACTTCAGGCGTTCTGTGCCTCTTTTCTGCAACCATGTTTCTCTTTGGTTTTGCATATGAACTTTTAAAGTCAAAAACAGTTCCCTAACTAGCCAAAGCTTCTTATCGATGCCTTTTCCATTTTTTCCCTTTGGGATTATTTGTGAGAATAAACTCAAAAGTTCATTTTTAGAACTGCAAAACCATTCTTGAAGCGTGCTTCAAAAGCCCTTTAGTTTGTTCGTTTTTGTGTGTGTGTGTGTGAGGAAGATCAACTCTGAACTAACATCCATGCCAATCCTCTTCTTTTTGCTGAGGAAGACCGGCCCTGGGCTAACATCCGTGCCCATCTTCATCTACTGTATATGGGGTGCCGCCACATCATGGCTTGACAAGCGGTGCGTCGGTGCATGCCCGGGATCTGAACCCAGGCCGCCAGCAGCAGAGCGTGCGCGCTTAACCACTACGCCACGTTGCTGGCCTCCTCAGAAGCCCTTTAGTTTTGATATCACGGTCTACCTTCTCTCTGAATTTTTTGAAATCTCTTTTTTTTTTAATTGTTTTTATTTCTAACCGTGCCTGTGGTCATGTTCTCCCCAAGTCTTCGTTGCTCCCATCTAAGTTCAGTATAGTATCACACATTGTTTTTTCTAACCTTTGAAAGATGAACTCATCTGCAAAATCAGTTAAAAACATATGCACTAATTAGTACAAAGATGGATTTAAAGCAGATGTCGGAAGAGTATCAAGACTGTTGTCATATCTTGCTTCTGTACTAATTTTGTGTTCCAAGTAAAACATGACCTCATCTGCGACCTAGTTAGGGGGGCTGTTACACACCTCAAATGTATCCCTATTTCTCTTTCTCTGTCCTCCTCCCATTTCTTTTTGCTTTATTTCCCTTCTTATATCTCTGCACACAGCTTTATGTACAGCGTTTCCTCTTAGGCAGGATGTGCTGACATTTTGACACCGTCCATGTTTTGAACCAACTACTCCTTGATTGTCTTCCTTCTGTCAGATTTACTATGCAGCTTTTCCTTGGGCCAATTTTTCTATCCAGGCTTCTTGTTGCTGACCTTTATTGACGATATCTTTGATGTTGGAAGGGATGAGAGGGATCTGATAGTAGCGCTTGTTACACTTGAAAGAAACCATGCCTGTGTGGCTTGATGAAAACCAGATAGGTACTGATCGCCCCGAAGAAGGCAGAGGATACAGCTGAGATTTTGGTAATGATGGAAAATACCAAATGCTTTCACATCCAGGTCTTGACCATGTCCCTTGCTCTACCCCCCAAACCAAAGAACTGTCAGCAACCCACAGCCACTTGGTGTTTGCTACATCCGGCAACATAACAAGCGATGTAAACCAGAGATGCCCTCAATGGCCAGAAGAGCGTGTTGTTTAAACAGCCCCGATACCTCCTTCTTTGCCCTTTGAATCACATGCACTCTTCTTGCTTGGCTGCTGGCCCTTAGTACACCGTTTAGTCCTTTATTTAAAGTGGGGAAGCTCCTCTTTCTCCAGTCAGGATTCAGATCTGTAAGTCCATGTGGATAGCCACAGTCATCAAGAAGGATTTAAGCTTGGGGTCTCTCGACGTGTTTCTACCAAATAGGAGCATCCTTGGATGTTTTAGAGTAAAGACAGATTCTTCTTCTTGGGGACGTACATTCTCTCAGGCCTTTTGTTCCCAAACAAGTCAGTTTTATCTATAATGAAAGTTGTGAAGTACGCAAGCTACCCCTTTTTGTTGATCTCTGCAGATATTTTGGGGAATATGTTTATGCTTTTGGCCTCACTTCTCGTTTGGTGTTGTGCATCTCCAAATGCACTCTCTGTAGAAGTCAGTAAACGTTTGATCAGCCTTCTTCTGAACTGGGCTAGTTGGCACCTGACGTTGAAACTGATGCTTTAGTCACAAACTGAAAAGGTTTTACGTTTCGTCAACTGTCTTCTTTCCTTTTGTGCAGATCGCTGTTAGTTGAATAGATAGGCACAGCGCTTTTCACATGTTGCATGATTCATTCTTTTCCTTTAGAATCATTCCCAATGTACAGCTGTTTATCCTGTAATAACATTTGTCATCATCTCTCCATCTTGAATTTTGGGGCGAAAATATTTCTACTTTCATTTTAATGGAAATCATATGTCTCTTTTATTACCATTTTTGATTGCTTTTGTTCTTATCAGACAGGATGAGATTAATAATCTTCCTAAAACACCTCAGAATGAAGCCCAAATCCACTGTAAACTAAGGACAAATGACACCACTCAATAGTAACACCATCTTTTGGTGGTGCACAGAGCTGATGTGCTTTGACTCTTTATAATGTAGTTTGGGAAATTTATAAATTGGATAAGCATTCAGAATCCCTCTGTGAAAATGTTATTACCTGTTCTTTTCTCTCCTTCCCCGGTAAAACTATGATTTTTGAATCGCGTCTGCTTTAATATTGCCATATTTCAGTTACGAATCTCACTCTGCTGTGTCTCGGTGATATGTACGAGTTGGGATAAAATTATATGCTGGTGAGAGTTCTGTATGGATGAGAAGTCAGGACGCCCGAGCAATGGCCCTCTCCCCTCAGTAATGCACACTTCACACACAATTCATACCTTTTTGGTCCTTAGTTTTCTGATCAATATCATGAAGGACGGAATTTACATGATCTCCAACCTCAAAATTGTATTGTTTTATGAAACAATAATTATCGTATTTTGGTAAAATTTCTAAGTCACGGTATTAAGATCAGTGGCCGTAAGTTTATTGAGCTCTTCGTTTTTCATCCCTGAGAATTACTAAATTGTTTCTCAACTATGGCCTTATTTCCTATGTTACTATTTAGACATACATTTATGGAGTAATTACTATGTTCTGGACACTAAACTAGACATTGAGGATTAAATAAAGAAGACATTTTCCTGCTCTCTTGCTTTATAGTATAAGCTGAGTATTTTTAGCTCCTTTTGCCAATTCCAGTTTAAAAGTCTCTTAATCAGGTTGGTGGATTTCATTTACAGCACGTTCTTCTTGATCTTCCTGGGGTGGATGTAGTATTTTTCTTTCAAAGAGCTCTTTCTTCATGTGTTAGAGACTATGAGCCCAGAAACTGAAACCTACTTTTCAGCACTCCTCTCTGTAGCTGGTGTTTTAGTGCCTAGTGCTCTGTTCAGTTACGGGCTTCAGCTGGTAGGAGCAATGAGGAGTGTCACCTGTGCCCCTCAGGTCTCCTGTTTCTCACTAGCGTTTCACTTTCTCAAGTTAAGTAGCTTGATATTGTTGGCATTCAGGCAGCCCATAACTTAGTCCTGTCATCATCCACTTAGCTCGGGTGGCCAGCTCTGATACAGGCCTTTAAGAACTCTCCTCAGTCCTAAGGACATTATTCCAAAAGCTTTATTTTAGAGAAAATATACATTTCGTCCGTGATGCATGTCACTGGCAAGTCTAAAAATATTTTATTCATTAATTGATTTCTCATATATATTGAAGACCTTCTGTGTGCAGTTACTATTCGAGGGAGTAGGGATAGAGCAGTGGGCAAGACCTGATAAACGTCCCTGTATTTGCTTACTATTGTTGCCTTAACAAATTACCACACACTAATGGCTTAAAACAACATGGATTTATTATCTTACAGTTCTGTGGGTGAGACATCTAAAATGAGTCTACAGGGCTGAAAGGAGTGTTGGCAGGGCTGTGTTCCTTCTAGGAGCTGAAGGAAAATTCATTCTTGCCTTTTCTGGCTTCTAGAGGCCACCTATCCCTTGGCTTATGGCTCTGCATTTCTCTGACCTCTGTTTCCATCGTCACATCGCCTTCTCTGACTTGACTCTCCTGCCTGCCCCTTCTAAGGACCCTTTTGATTACATTGGACCCACTTACATATTCCGGAATAGTCTTCCCATCTGAAGATCCTTAAGTTAATCCATCTGCAAAGTCACTTTTGCCGTGTAATATAACTTATTCACAGGTTTCGGGGATTAGGACATGGACATTTTGGGGGAAGCCATTATTCTGCCTCCCACAGTTTCTATCTTCTTGTTTCTATTCCACTGAAATACTGTTAATAGTAGAGTATGAGTCTGTCAGATTTACTTTTTCTGATGAGTTGGCAACATTTTACATCTGTTTATCTGCATTACAATTTTTTTTGTGTGTGTGAGGAAGATCAGCCCTGAGCTAACATCCATGCTAATCCTCCTCTTTTTACTGAGGAAGACCAGCTCTGAGCTAACATCTATTGCCAATCCTCCTCCTTTTTTGTCCCCCAGAGCCCCAGTAGATAGTTGTATGTCATAGTTGCACATCCTTCTAGTTGCTGTATGTGGGACGCAGCCTCAGCATGGCCGGAGAAGCAGTGTGTCGGTGCGCGCCCGGGATCCGAACCCGGGCCGCCAGTAGCGGAGTGCTCACACTTAACCGCTAAGCCACGGGGCTGGCCCTGCATTACAATTTAAAATATGTTAGTTAGATCAGGTCTGAAGTTGTGGACAGTTTTGCCAGAGACATCAGTATGTAATGAAAAACCGAGGCAGTTTAATTAGTGTTGTGAGTGGTAGAAATCTATAGAAATATCACTGCCGTAAAAACGTCTTAATATTTCTAGAATGCCAACCTAAAAAATCATTAAAATGGACAGAAACACAAATCTAGGAGACCCAATAATTTTTGATCAGGAAAAGCCCATTTAGAAAAACTGCTTATTATCCTAAAGTAAACCAAATTAGGGGGTTTGGAGTGGGAAAATAATCCACAGAAGGGATCTAGTTTGTCTTTTTTTCATATCTTTTTTGTTCATAAACACAGAGTAGCCAAGAAAATTTCTAACCACTAATTACTATGATGTAAAAATTTTATAAATAAAATAACATTAGAAAACCCACAAACACAAATGGTTCTGTAGAACCAGTAATTTTTTTAAAAGATGTCCAACACAATGTTAGAAAAACAAAAACTATGATTGAGTTCATGTAGGTGTTCAAGAAATTTCTTAAAATTTTCTTCCTGGATGTATCATATTGCTCACTATGGTTGCTAATAAGTTTGGGGATTTAAGGGTCTGAGCGTGGATGAAAGTGGGAAAATAGATGAGCTTCTACCAAGAGGTGTTTATATTCTCAGTGTTTTATGAAGAGACATGGGAATAATTTGTCAAAATGTCTTAAATTTGACTTCTACTGGCATCCAGGTAACCTTAAGCTTTCAATTTTTGTTTTCATTTTTTAGTGAAACAAGAGTCAAATCAGAAGAAGTGGATAAAAATGGACGGCCTTTGCTGTTTCTCTCTGTACCGCAAATTGAAGTCAGGAGCTTCGGGCAGCTGTCACGCTTGTTATTTATTGCCGGAAATACAAAGCTGAGGGAAGCACAAGCGTGTATTGAAGGTGATATTTACATTCCAGTCTGTGATTTGAACTTTTTGAAATGTAATCTTGAGGGGAATCATTTGTTATGGTCTCTTGAAAAAGTTTTACTACCTAAAGGTAAAAAGTCATATGTTCAACGTCATAAAAATGTCGTTAATTTTCCTTGGCTGAAATGTTATGCTCATATCAAATTTCTGCTTTAAAATAAAAGGCCTAATATTTGACAGTGAGTAAGCTTCTAGATTTCTAATTTTTAGCATGTGGTTTAAAGAGAGCCTTCTTAGCTTCTGGAAAGACCAGAGGCCTGTAGCCTTGAAGGTCCACGTCAGGAGAGAAGATAGATGACCAGGGCCAGCAGCGAAATCCACCTTCTCCCTCACATACTGCTGTGATGCATGATGATCTGTTTCCTTTAAAATGAATGTAGGCTCTTCCTTTAGCAGAGATAGTCCACAATAATCTCACTTTCCGTTTGTCCCAGCCCTGTTCCATTGTGGACTTCACAGCTGTTTGTGAATAGTTACATTCATTCAGTGGGACATACTTTTCCTCTTCATTAGGGATACATAATGCTCCCATCATCATCAATCATCTGACATGCAAAAAAGAATGTAATTGATTGCCTGCTGTAATTGTGCTCTAAATATTTCTTATGAGTAGAAACACTTACCAGTAGGTAATGATGTTGTATATGTGTTTTGTGCCTTTGGAATCACGTGACCAGTGGGTCCCAGGCGTGAGGTACCTGTGTTCTACCTCTCATCATTCTTTGCCTGTTGCTATGAGGTGGGAATGTGCTTTTTTTTTTTTTCTTAGTGTGAACTTTAAGACAGCATCCTCTTTCCTACTCTTCCTTATTGGGCTATCTGTACATCAAAGCTAATTTCCTGAAGAGGGATGAAATCTTGAGAGTAAAGCTGAATTCTAGAAGATAGTGAATAGAGGCACGATTATTCATTAAATTCAACATAATATATAAACAACACATAGACTGCTATTATCTAGTTTGGCTAAATATGTATCCTTTGCTGCATTTTGCCTTTTCTGTATGAGTTCTAGGTACAACTCTTAGTTTTAAGTCCAAATTGCGTGGTACCCAGCAATTTGGGAGTCAGTTTTATGTCTTTCCCCAGAATTCACTTAGTATCCCTTGTCACAGATCTTTCTAGTTGACAGCCTTGAGGGTAAGTTGAGATGCTCAATGAGCTGTTGATTCCTGGGCCTCCTCTCTGTGCCCCCCGCTCCCCTCATGCGGTCTTGTCTCGGCCCTGCGCCTTTTCTGCTATTTTCTGGTGGCGTAGCCCGTTGCCTGTTGGAGAGTTGATGCCATCACTGGCCTCCTCTTTGTATCAGTCAGGTCAAGCTTTCTGAATTAGTCCCATAGGCATTTCCCCCTCCCTGTCCAAACGCATATATATTTTCGTCTTACTTGAATTCCTCCTTTCTAAACAAGGTTTAGCTCCTTTCTCGGTCATTTTCAACCATATGGTTTTTTTACCTTTGCCAAATTCTGTTTGCAGCATCTCTAGGTTCAACTTTCACATCTGTGTCAGACTTGCTCTTGAGTTGGTATTTAAGTTTTTCACTATAATTTTGGTATGTGTATAAATGCTGGTTAGATTTGTTTTTTCCAATGCTAACATTAAAAGGCATTGAGAATACAAGCAGTTTGAACAGGTGGAAAAGACAGGCAGTAGATCTATAGACTGAAGAAGCCTGCTGCTTTGGAAAGAAGGCATTTATGAATGCTGAGCACCTGTACACAGGCACGCACGCACCCACGCACGCACACACAGTTCTAGTGATGATTCTTCTAAGGAGACCAGTATTTCTCTATCTTCAAGTCAATTCTGAATATATTAATCAAATGCCTATTCTGAACAATGGCCCTCAGTCAACTAAAAGAAAAAGAATGTCTTGGTCTTTGTCCTGTTAGGGTGATGACATATATAGATGATATTACAATACAAGGTAGAACATCTCAAGAGGTATGAGAAAGTTCCTAAGTACAGTAGAATCTCAGAAGTAGAGATTAATTTTAATTGAGTCGATCAGAGAAAGCTTAATGAAAGAAACACATTTTTTTTTAATTGATGTTTTAATGGTTTCTAACATTGTGAAATTTTGGGTTGTA